TTCCGCACAGTTTCCGCACATTTTCCGCACATTTTCCGCACAGTTTCCGCACATGTTCCGCACAGTTTCCGCAAAGTTTCCGCACATGTTCCGCACAGTTTCCGCAAAAGTTTCCGCGGATTTTCCACAAAGTTTCCCCACAGTTTCCGCAAAATTTCCGCAAAGTTTCCGCACATGTTCCGCGCAGTTTCCGCAAAGTTTCCGCAGAGCTTCCGCACAGTTTCTGCACTTTGTCCGCACAGCTTCCGCCAAAAGTGTCCGCATAATATAGTTATATCTATATACTGGGTGTGAACAATAAACATAGACAAATGAACACGTATCCTAAGCTGTGCACTACATAATATATAATATATAATATAGACATACAGTGACATACATATACATAGACAGTGACAGTGACATAGACAAACGCACAGCTACAAATGCCGATGTCAGGATTGGCAAACTTCAACACTTTGTAATAGCTACAAACACACAATCAATACATTTAAGATTCAAGCCACTGCCACAGACTTTACTGCAATTCTGTTGCTTTTGTTTTGGTTTTGGGGTCTGGAAGTCTGGAAACACAACCATTTGAATCACGCATAGCTACACCTAGCCTTGCGATTTGGCAGGATGGCCTCTGCTTTGCACCCACCCGTTGTGGCCTGTCAAAATCTCCGCCCCATCCCTCCCAAACAAAAATCGTAATGTACTGCATTAATGCATCATTTGGCCCACAGTCTGACATAGTCTGACACGTAGTCTCATAGACTCATAGGACCAACTATAGCTTGACTCACTGTTCATCACTGCATGACTTGTTTTTGGCGCAATCATGCAGAGTGCGCGTGACATAAAAAGCAAATAAATGAAATTGACGTACTTGGCCCACCACGCGCGCCTTTGTCAAGTAGTCTGGACTGGTTTGCAAAGCCACACCAACCACCTGCTCCAAACATGAGGCATGGGCCAGTTGTGAGAGTCACATCAGTCACATCGGAATCAGATTTGTTTCCTTCCTACTTTCTCTTTTCAATCACATAAAATCTTGCCATGTGTAGTCCCAAAATTTGTAGGCTGAGAAGCGCTCTAACTTGAGTGCTGCCCGGGACAGAATTCTTGGATACAAACGAAACAAACACACACACACATGACAACAATGCAATGTTGCAACACGAGTTGTGGACTTGGCTACCCTGAGAAAATCCCTGAATACGTTAGTGGAAAACTCTGTTCAAGGACTTGTGGGTGCCTTGTTTGTTCTGGGGCTGAGATTGTGTTACCAGTTGCTGTGCATGCATGCGACTGCATGTGTCCCGCCCCCGGCCTACTGCCGCTGACGAAGCTTCATCTTCCACCGTTCAGACTTCAGCTGTGTGCCAAAGTTGGCGTGCTCCTCACCCTCACAGCTCAATCCTTGAGCCAACCACTCCTTCAAATCTCTCTCTATGTCCTCAAAGCTTGGGGATCGGCCCAAGGTGGACATAACTTGTTCATGTCGCTGCGTGCCCTCGGCAGGCAGAGAAACTGCACAGGAGCAAGTCTTGTGGATCTTGCAAGTCGCTTTCAAGCTACTGGATCCAAGGTGGTGCAACCGGCCGACTGACTGTCGGCTTTCCACTGCCGCAAAGTCCCAGCCACCTCTGTCGTACATCAACCTCGGCGCTTGCAACACAGGCTGCTGAGGTTGCACTGGCACTGGAACCCCTGCAGCAGCACCTGCATGTCTTTGAGCAGGCTGCGGGTCTTGTTGTGGCTCATGCTGTGCATCATCTTCTGCATTTTCCTGCTCAGCGTCTCCATCCTCCCCATCAGACCGCTCCTCTGCTAAAGGCTGAGCAATCACGTCGTTGTGGTCTTCAAGCTCACGAATGATATCTGCAAGATAGTCGTGTTCATCTTGCACGAAAGCACTAGGGGCCCTAGGGGCCCTGCTTGCTCGGGCTGGACGCGCTGCTGAAGGACGAACTGCCAAGTCTTCCAGCATCAACAGATCTTCAGGATCAGCCACTTGTCCACCCCCACGCCCACGTTGAGGTTGATGTGGCTGAGGACGTTCACATGATGCGACATATGTGTTCCCTCTTCCAGAAACCTCATATGTGTCAAGGCGTGATGTAGCTCCTCCCCACCCCCATGTCAATACAACCAGAACAACCTTCTCCACAACATCGTCGTCCACGAAGCACATCTTCGCAGCAAATTCATCTTCAGTGATACAAACAAGCCTGACAGCGTGACGGATTAGGAAGTGATTTGGTATGGTATGAAATGCAGCCTCTTTGTTACGTACATTTAAACGGCAATCTTTAGACTTATAGGCGGCTTATAGTCTAGTCTCGACGACATAGACTAGACGTCTTTACTTTACTGAAGCTGAATAGTAAGTCACTCGGCAAGTCATCAGCAAATGAACCAATATCATATGAATAATGTTAATCAGATTCATATGAATCATACCTCGCTTTGTCATCTCAGCTGAACCTTAAAATGATCCAATGAAGGCGTCAGTTCGGAGACAGCACTGCACTTCCAGAGCGTCCCTTTGTTTAGTGTTTGAGCGACTCTTGAAATTCCTGGCTTATTTCCCAACAAGTGTGACAGCACAGAACCCAATGTGCCAATGAGTCAATGAGTATTATTAGCCTTAGCGGTACAGTATAAATTATGAATCTAGTATGTCATGCCCCCCCCCCCATGAGCCATGAGCAAAGTATGCTTGAAGACTTCCGGGTTGAGGAAGCAACAGAACAGCCCGACACCAACCCAGCCTTCCGGTCTGTCCTGCACACAAAGGCGACCTCCTAGTCCGCAATGGTTTCTCAAAATCTTGGCGCTTGTGCTGCAAAATCGAGCCAGCTCCAAAAGCCTCCAGCAGTTGAAAGGACTGACACAACTCTACACAGCAATTCTTGGATACTGACTGCGTTTTCTGGCACAATCAACCCCAACTGCGTGTCAACACCAAAAGTAAAAGTAAGTGGAACCCAAGCAGCGCGCGAACCCTATATTTGAACAGCGTGGATCAAAGAGTTCTGAATGGGGCCTTGCCGTGAATAAGGCCAAAAACATCGGTTGAAACTTTGGGCATTGGAGTTTGAGGTTTGCCTGTCCAGGACGGGTTTGTGTATGTGTATGAGGCAAAATTGCCAATGAACCATTTTGGCTAGTGGCTAGTGAAATGCATTCATGACATCGTATCCTTTGCACATGTATGGACTGTATGGACCGAGTGTTTTCTTTTTTTAATATCATTGCATACCGTGAGTTCCAGTAAACATAATTCACATATGACATGATATGATGTGAGATGTGTATAAGCAATATAATTTTAATATAATATAATCATCATTATGAATTATGACTCATGACTCATGACTCTTATGTCAACTGTATTAATAAAAATATCATATCAAATATCATCAGTAACTTTCGGCCTGCGGCGGATCATGTGGGCAAAACAAGGACTCCAGCTCTGCAAGTGTCACTTGTGGCTTGTGGTGTGCTTGCCGGCCAGAAGCGTGAGCAATGGCATAGAAGCTAGTTCTGCTTGGGATGTCGAGCGCAGTGTCCTGGTACTGCTCTGCAGCAAAAAGGATGGATCCTCTGGAGACATGGCCCGGTTTCAAGTTTGATCCTTCCACAACTTTCAACAATGAATCCACGATCTTGCCATGTAGATACAGTGCCCTTTGGGTGCTCTGGTTGCGACACAAGGCGCCACAACAACCAGGGTAGAGTACCTGGTTGGGCATAGCATCTCCTCCTGCAATTGTAGTCGCCTGTTGTGTGAAGTCGTCAACTCCCTTGCGAACACCGCCTGGTGCTTTTGATCTGATCAAGATCGCCTCAGGCTTGATTGGAAACTTCTGTTTTGAACGCCCAGCAGCACTGTCACCAGACTGGGCCTGCACTTGCAAAGGGCTGAGCAAACTCTGACAACTGACTTGTTTTGGCATCGGTGGCTGGCGTTGGCTAGCGTCTTCAAGTGTTGCAGGTTGCTGGATCATGAGAGCCAAAGGGTCGGCCTCCTCAGTCTGGCCCTGAGTTGATGCAGCGGGCTGTGACTCACCACAAACTTGATGCTCTGTTGTGGAACATGTCCTGTCTTGGCATTTTTTCAGCCTCTTCAAGACCTTCCTGTTCACAGCAGCCTCTAGCTTGCTCGCCTTGGATCTTTCTTCCAACACTGCTTTCTCCTCTGCTGTCAAGTCTGAGAAAGCAGCCCTGCTTGCTTTCCAGCATTCCTTGGAAGCTGGTTTCCATGACCTTCCCAATGTCTTCTCACGCTTCAACCAATCCCACCTGTAAATCTCCTCAGCTGACTGTGCCCGAACCACCCGTCCTCCAGTTCTTTGCTTTCGACTCCGGACCTTGCTTGGTTTGTCAGCAGGCAGACTCACTGGGCCATCTAGACCACGTTGCATTTGGTCCTTTTCGCGTTGGATGCGCAAACGCTCAAGCTTCATCCTCTCCACTGCTGAATCCTGGTGTCTGCACTCCGCAAGCACAGAGCCTGCAGCAAACATTGAGAATGGCATGCCCCTGTTGGCCTGCTGTTGGTGGGTCGCATGCCGTCGCTCCACACTGGCAATTGTCAGCTTTGTGATGAAAGAAGTCATCAATGCAAACCATCGAAACTGTGAAAGATGTTGCATGAAATCATCTTTGCTGACATGTTTTCTCAGTTCCCTGGCGAATCCTGCTGGATGGCAGCAGAGTGGCTTGCTATAGAACTCTTTCACCAATGCTTCACCATCACGACGTCGAGCATCTGCAAGACCAAACAGCTTGAAAGGAAACCTGTCAAGCGTTGCCAAGAACCGTTTGTGAACACTTCCTGCAATGAGCAGAATCAAGTTTCTGGCTTGGCGTGCTTCTTCCGGACATTCCGCAACCCATTGGGACATGGAAGTGTGGCCGTCTAGCTGAAACAAAAGCCGCATCCGACCACAGGCTCCTGTCAGCAAGGAACTGTAGTACTGGAGGACCGCCACAAATTTGCTGCTTGGGGCCCAAATTTGCTGCAGCAACGTAGGCCAAGATTGGTCATCTGGCGCTGTGTGCGCGCACTTCAGGAATGCAGAATGTAGATGCCGCAAAGGTTCGATCGCAATTGCTAACAACGTCCTTTCAAAGCGCTCTTCGTAGCTGACCAACATTTTACAAGTTCTCTGGAATCTGCTGCCTGCTAGAGCTCTCCACTCAATGCAGACGGTCTCCCCCGAAACATCCTGGGTAGGCAACTGCATTGCCCATTGAGCGCTCAATAGTAGCTTTGTCAGGAGGCCTTGATGCTCGGCAGCAATGAAGAAGTCCAAGTTGGGTCCAAGTCTGACCCAGTCGGATAGCAAAGGGGTCACCGGGAGAGTACGCAGAAGCACGCGCAAAATAGCCCATGTCACCTTTGATTCTGCTTCTGCGCGGCTGTCGCAGCACCCACCAACACAGAGATGCATCAGAGGACCACGGTGCCAGTAAGGGCCATTGAGCACCTTTTCGAAACAATGCTTGATGTCCTTGGCTGCCTTCTGCCAACCAAGAAGACCTGCACATAGACGGAGTCATAGACACATGATAACATTATATACTATTCACATCGTTAATCATAACAGTGCATTATGACATATAATATATAATATATATATATATATGATATATACTGTATATTATATATATAGTTATATATAAATATGTTTTTTTTAATTTTATATGTTAGGTAGAATGTAGGTAGAGACGGTAGAGACTCACAGACTCGATTCGCTACATTACATTACATCACATTACATGCAATACAATTCATTTGCTCGGCTGGACCGAGTCGTCATGCCCGAGAACTGTTCGGCGCGGTGTCATGTTTCATCCCGTTCACTTACACCACCAGTGCTAGGGGGAATTGACCATGTCATGTGTCCGGCACGTGGCATTTGACATAAACATGGTCACATGGTCCCATAGTCCATGGTCCATGTTTGGTGACATGGTCCGCCCCAAACAACGCTGTGCTACAAGATGCTGTTTGCTATTCTATCAACATCTCACCTGATCAACAGAGAACAGGGGCCCAGAAAATGCGGAAAATGGAAGGTGTAAAATTTATGATTCATATCCCAAACCAACGCCTGGTTGGCTGGCACTCATCTCCCGCGATCCGTGCCGCAAGTTGTCGATCAGGTAGCTGATGAGCTCTTGGTTGTACAATCGCCCTTCCAACAACTGCTCCGAGGTTGGGCAAGGTACCCAATGCAAAAAGGTTGCTTCTTTGACAAGAAGCTGAACACTGCTAAGCAATCTTACAAAGTGCCCGCCCATGCGGAGGAAGAGTGTAGAGCAAAACAGGTTTGGAACAATTTTTCCTCCTGTGCTTTCAACTTTGACTAAGCTGTCAACTGCAGCAACCATGGACAACTGAATCTGGTGATTTTGGCATAGCACCTGCTCCATCAAGCACGGCAAAGGCGCATTTGCGTCCCCTTGTCCACCGCCCGACCGTTGGTCGTACAAATGGAAATGCAGCTTTTCATTTGCCAAATGACCATCTGTTTCATGTATCCAGGTTGACAATTTGCTAGCCCTCAAAACATCCTCAGCTAAACCGAGCACAGGCCCAGTCAAAGGATGCTTGAACAAAGCAAGCCACAAACTTGAAGAACTGTTTGAAGCCAAAGGGAGCGGTGGCATGACAAACTCATGGTAGAGCTTCAACCCGGTCACCCATCCAACTGTGAGCTGCAATTTGCTGACCATCACTTCCCAGGAGGAAGAAGTCTGGTGTCGGTGCACTGGAACATCAGATGTTTCCATTGAATCCAAAGCTAGGATTTGAGAGGTTTCGTCCCAACTGAGCGAAGCAGCAGAAAAATCTGGTGATTTTGTCAGCACAAAATCTCTCAAGTCCTTCAGTTGATGCAGTTGGATCTCAAGAACAGTCAATGCAGTGAAAGACAAAGCCCTCCTGATAGTTTGCTTTGAGACATCAAAGCGCTCTGCTAGGAATGTTCGCCGATGGCAATTTCCAAAAGCAATGGTGCACATGTCATTGGCTGTGAGTTTTCGATTGCCCAGTGGTTTGCGAACTGTTTCATAGGCCATGACAGCATCGCGCAAGGTACCAGTCCTTTTCTGCAGCTTGCGATATCGCATGTGAGCAGCTAAGTCTCTTTTCTGCACTAATGTCCTTCTCTTTGGCCCGGACCCGAAACGGCCAAGGCCCAGGCGCCGCCTCCTCCGCGCCTGATCACAGCGCGTGACAGGCAAACCAAATCCATTCGTAAGGTCTGTACAACGTGCCCAAAACGAAGCATTTTTTGGTCTAGCATTGTATCAACTTATCAAAGTGCAAAGCTTGGTTACCAATTCTGCATCGGATCACCTACTCCTCCAGACTCCAGACTCTGCACGACAGCGGCAAAAGTAAACAGTAAACCAGTGTCAAAAGCTCGGGTTCAAAAGACTTTGGAGTTTGAATCATCTGAGCTGAACAAATCACCAAGTATTGGTGTGCGGCCATGCCTGCTCACCACGCTGCTGGATACCTCTGCGGCAAAGAGCACCAACCTCCAGGCAAGCAGCTTTGACACTGTTAGCTTGATTCTTCTGAAGGCTCCTAATATCACGTCTTTTTATTACCATCGAGGGGGCTGATCATTGTCAGTGTCATGAGTCATATTAGTCATGAGTTTCGACCAGGCATGACAACCAGGAAGAATAGTCCGATTCATTTGAGGATATATACACATAGTCACAAAGGCTCTCCTATGGCAATCGCTGACAATGATCAATCCTAACAACGCCTGCGAGACTTATGACTCATGACTCATGACCTGATCACTCATGACTCACATGAGTCACATGACTCATGACTTAAAGCAGATCACAACAACTCTTCCGCTGACAGCTGAGGTAAATTTCAGCCTTGATCACACAGAGGTACATCACAAAAGAACCAAACACGATGAATACGATGAACATTGGTTCTACAGTAAATGGACCGTCGATTCCGCGTCGATGCTGCCAGCCTCGGTTCGGGAAGCATCATCATCGTCATCATGTTCTGGTCCAGCAGCATGGGCGGCATCACCAGGATCCTGCAAAGCAAAGCCCAAAGTCAACTGAGCCATGACCCAGTGTAGGGTTTCGTGTATGCAGTGAAAAAGGTGACATAATAATACATTGATTGTCATGGTACATGTGCACAATACACACATTACACAAGTAAAAATCATAAATACCGCGAGACAACCTGTCCGGAACAGCATACTAGCAATTTTAGCGGATGCCTTTTGTGATGGTTTGGGTGCTTGTGTGCCCAACGGGAAGCGGAAATGCTGGAGAACATACAGCAGAACAAGCTTCCACGGGGGGAGAGGAGAGCTCACAAAAACAATGAAGAGCGCAACGCCATCTGAAAAAACACGACTGTTCTTCATCATAAATGATGAGCCATGGGCCTGACTCGCCTGACCATTCTGAATCTTCATGAAACAATCGTTTGCATTCGGATTTCATCCGATTCATCCCTGTTTCCTCACCAAGGTCATGGCTGGCACCATCGTACAAGTCCTGATCGAATCAGGTGGCTGTCATGCGGTATCTGGAAGAAAACACAAGAAGCCCGATGGAATGTAGAAAGTTCTATGTCTATGTCACGACTCTATGACTCCATGTCAATGTCTATATTATTCTATGACTCCGACTCAGTCCGACTCCATGACTCAGACTCTATGAGTCTATGTCACATGTCTATGACTCTATGGCTGTGACTATGACTACTCTGACTATGAAAGGCAAAGAAAGACCCGGCCGCCTAACGGGCGGCACAAGTTGCACACCAACAGTCAATCTGGGCCAGAGTACTCTTCCTACGTCTTTTATTTCTTTCCCAGGCGACTCGCACTACATATTTCATTTTGCTTCTGGGCTGCAGGCCTCCAGCAAATCGCAATCATCACAAGAATCTTCTGGCGGAGGGTCCGGGAAGTCCTGGAAATTGCAATTGACAAAGGACCAGTGCTGGGGAAACAAACTAACAAGAAACATATGGAACAACAAAAAATGGAAATTCGATCGCAAGGAAGGATAGGTTGTAGCACAAGTGCAACACAACCATTCCCAAATTCAAACGAACCTTCCTCAACACAGCTGACCATGTCACATGGTCACAGGTCATATGGTGCTGGCAAGCCGACTGGACGTCTCAATGCAACTGTCTTCATTATTTTGTATTCTTGCAACGTGGGCCTTTCACGAAAAGTGGAGAAGTGGGACTGTATTTCCTAAATCATAAATCCCCTCCAGGGTCCTCCAGCAGGTCCTCAAAATCGGATAGGAGGTCCACATCCGAATCGTCCATGTCTCCTGACAGGCCGCAACATCCGTTGAGCTGGCCAAGGTTCAACCCTGATCGAGTTTGGAAGGCTGAGACACAAATACAAATAAATATTGCTCCGATTCTACCAGCTTGTTTCCCAACCCGTGAGTGCTCCAGCTTTTACCCCACAATTTTCGCTGCAGTGTTTGGCAAGGTGCCAGGATCTAAGGAACTAACTACGTGGTGCGTTCTGCAGTGTCACAAGTCATTTGACATTGACCTAGGTCACACCTGGCGCTTGTAGCGGAAGCCGCTGTTCTCAAAGTCGGCAGCCGTCATCCCAATGGCTTTCATCTGGGCTGCGGTCTGCAGCTGTGCGCTGAGGTCCATCAAAATGACGAAGCACTTCTCAAAAAGATAGCCTCGAATGATCAAAGGACATGTTGTTGTACAGTAAAAAGTTATTCCTAGCAGTGGAAAGTGGATGAGTGATCAGTCATGAGGTAGCCACGACTAAAGCTGAGATTGAGATGCCTGCATCCCGCATCCCATCGTATCCAACACATCAAAGCCAAACTCACAGGCTCACTCACTCTAGAGTAGAGCCTAGTCAAGTCCAGAATCTATGGTCGATGGAGATCTTCCAAAAGGAAAAAGGGGGGCCTTCTGCCAGAGAATCTTTCAAGAGGGATAGAGGCTAGAGGTGATAGACCAGTGATAGATGGTGTCGCAGTTTAATGTGCTTCTTGATGGCACTTACAGGGGGGCTACTCCAACATCACCACTGCACCCCGCCCTGCCAAACAAATCGGAAACAGTGTCAGTGTCAATATTTATCATAGTCATAGTGACTATATACAGTATATATATATATTATATATACTTCTTTTTAAAAAATAACATATCATTTACATTGACATCATATCATATCATATATAATGTATCATATAGGCTCATCATATATACGGATTATATACGGATACCGGATACGGCATCAATAGTCGGCCCAGTAGCCAGTTTCCTCTTCTTCCAAAAAGGGGTAGTGGAATGACTCATCGCATTCCAGGAACTCAGCAGCAGCCATCAACTCAGCCTGCTTGTGTTGCGGGTCGGGACAACAGGCGAGAATTTTCATGGTCATGGGCCTCGGCTTTGTTCCGGCATTGTACCGTGAGAACTCTTCTGCGCAAGGTAGAGGTGGCTGGATAAAATTGCCTTCATCGTCAGCCGATAGGAAAGCATCCCGGCACGCTGTGAGCAAGGCCACCGCAAAGGACAGCACCTTGGAAGCCTCCAAGTTGCCGGCGTGCATCCTTTGGCACCACATGAGCCTCTCTCGCAATTTCTCAAAATCAGTTGCAAATGCCTTCTTAATCTTCAGGAAGTCCGCTGAATACGCCAATATCACAGCCCGAAACATGCCATACATCAAAGCATTTGTAATTGGCGGTACCTCCGGCATGACCGAGAATGTAAGCGAGCCTTGCCCACAATTCGATAATCGCTGCGGGCCAAATCAAAACTGCGTAGCATACACTGCTCAACTGCTCCCTAGGTTCATTGCATACCGTGAGCTACATGCGGAAGTTGAGATTGGAGTGCCTCAAATGACTCAATGACCCAAGACTACGACTACCGACTCCGACTCTGTCAGTCTCCACCCCTCCCAGTCTCCTCATCCTCGTCAAACTCTCCATGATGGGCGCTGCATTGGCACCGAGAATGCTGCTGAGCGATAACAAACACCATATATGAACCATATGGAATATATGGTATTTAAAGGCCTAAAACTTGTGAAATACATGTCCGCTGAAGGGCCAGAAACATGTGGAAAACATTGCTGCTGAAGGCCTAAAAGTTGTGGAAAACATAGCCTCTGAAGGCCTAATGTCTGTGGAAAACATTGCCTCTGAAGGCCTAATGTCTGTGGAAAACATTGCTTTTGAAGGCCTAAAGTGTGTGGAAAACATTGCGTTTTGAGGCCTAAAGGCTGTGGAAAACATGGCCTCTGAAGGCCTAAAGTCTGTGGAAAACATGGTCTTTGAAGGCCTAAAGTCTGTGGAAAACATTGCTCTTTAGGGCCCTTTGAAGGCCCAAAAGCTGTCGACGTTTGCTCCATAAAGAGGGCCTTCCATTAGTTGACGAAGGGCCCCCCCAATGCATAACCCCCTACCTGGATGGTTGGACAATGTCAAACATCTCTAGGGCTGAGGCTGAGATGGGGTATTTTCATCAACAGTCAACATCAGAGTGAGGGCGAAGACAGCGCACTGGATGGATGGACGGCGAAGACAGCTGGCACATGTCTGACTCATCAGGCCGAAGGTGGACTGAGTCATGGCCATGATTCGGCCTCATCTGTTTTAGTTCAAATAAGTGTAGATGTCAAACAACATACTCATGACAGCAACGCTCAACATGAAAACGCTCCCAAAAAGCTGGGCTTCGCTCCCGAAATGCTCGGACGTGGAGAAGCCAACGTGAAGGACGCAGGGCTGTTGACCTCCTAATTGAAAACAAACGGACCAACTTTGGAGGTTTTAAGGATTCCTAAGACCTAGGATCCAAAACTTCCGAGAGGCTCAACTTATGAGAGGCTCCGCGAACTGAAACCGTGCTTTTCCCCGCGATCTGCTTTTCTCCCAGGCGCAACTCGAGCCGCGTGGGGGAGATGGCCACGGCGGAGACCTCCCGGAGCTGGTGCAGACCCCGACGGGAGAGCGCCGCCGTGGACGTCCGGTGTGCACTCCGACGGCGCCTCACGTGGTGCAAGGGGTTCAAATGGGTTCAATATGGTTCAATGGCCCATGTTGTTTCCGATCTATATAGTTGT